GGCCGCCGCGGCCGCCGCGGCCGCCGCCGCGGCCGCGCGCCGCGACCGCGCGGCGGCCGCGCGCCGCCGCCAGGCGGCGACGCGGCTCCTGAGCGCCGCGCCGTCCGCGGCGGCGGCCGCGGACGCCGCCGCGGCCGCGCGCCACGTGCGGAGCGCGCCGCGCGAGGCCGGCGCGACGTGGCGGAGGCGCCGGAACGCGGCCGCGACGTCCGCCGCGGCCGCGGGGCCCTCGACATCGGCGACTCGCGCCTTCCACCAGCGGCCGAGCGCCGGCGCCGCGCCGCGGTGGAGCGCCTCCCAGCGCCGCCGCCACACGCCGAGGCCCCGCGCGAGCCGCCGGCGCCGCGACCGCACGCGGAGCGCCGCGGGCCTCGCGCCCGCCGCGAGGAAGCGGCCCAGGGCCGCGGACCGCCGCGCGCGGGCCGCCCAGGCCGCGAGCGCCGCGCCGCAGGCCCGCCGCGCGAAGCGCGCGGCGCCGACCGCGGGCCGGCGCCGCGCGCGGCCCGCGGCGGCAGCTAGATGTAATACCCGTGTTGTAATCTCCTGCTCCCCCCGGCGCCTGCGGCGCTCTCTTGGCGCCTTCGGCGCCGCCTCCCGGCGCCTTCGGCGCCGCCCCACGGCGCCTTCGGCGCCGATTTTTTTCTTCTCTTTTTTTTTCTTGAAGTGTGGAAACACCAAATCGCCGCCGGATTCTTGACGCAATCTTTACAGCCCACCTTCGGCGGCGCATCCGACGTCGACACAACCTACCCCTCGACTCGAGCGCACCGAGGACGATGGGCGAGGAGGTCCCGGCGCGCGCGGCGGCCGAGGAGCCCCCGCCGCCGGGGCTGCCCCTCTCCAGGAGCCCCCGGCGGCCGCCGCCCATCGAGTTCCTGCAGCGCTGCGACAGCAAGGTCACGCCCGTCTACGACATCAACGTCACGGGCAGCAGCGGGCTCGACGGCGCGGCCGTGCGGCGGCGGCGGCGGCGGTCGAGCTCCGCCGAGGACCTCCAGCGCCTCGAGCGCCTGAAAGAGATCCGCGAGAGCATGAAGACGGAGTCGCCGCGGAAGCCGTCGAGCATCCACACGGACACGCTGTCGCCGCGGCGGTCCTTCGAGCTCGACGAGTTCCGGACCGAGGAGCTCGCGCGCATCGCCGCCGGCGAGCGGGACCGCGTCTCCTTCGCCCGGGGGAGCCGAGAGCTCCAGCCGCCGACGGAGCCGCCGA